CCTGAAGCTCAGAGTGCCATTGTGGCAGTGAAGAGGAGGCCCAGGAAGACATGAGGAGCACCGAAGAGGAGATGAGGCTCCATGAGCAGAGAGGAGATCAGCAGAATGAGGTGAGTGAAAGAGTAGAAGTCACTCCACTCATCAAGCTGTCTCTCTCGTGTTTTTTAGAGGACATCAAGGAAAATCTCCAGGCAGAGCTGCAGGAAACAGAGGCTAGGATCGACGCAAAGGAGAAGAGGCTGGAGGAAGAACTGAAAATTGTCATAGAGAAAATTAATCACCTGATTCAGAAGAAGGATTCTCTACTAAAACAAGTGAGTGAAACAGCGATAGCCACTGCAGTCACTGCAGTCTGGTGGTTTCAGCCCCTCTTGCCTTTCCCTTGCAGAGCAGCAGGGAGCTGGGGTGATGCCTCTCAGTGCCATCCTGCTGTAGTGTCTATCCCAGCTGCTTTGAAGGAAACTTCCTGGTGTGCTGAATCCCAACTGCTGCTCTGGACAGTGGCACAAATCATTTTCCCCTTTTGCCAGCACTCATCTGAATGCATTCCTGCTGGCCTGTTCCTGCTCCCCTTGTTTCTTCAGGTGTTTTTGCAAGTGAACACAGTCACCCAGATAGATGTTGAACACAAGCCACAAGCTGTCTGTATCCCTTGGGGAATCTGCTCCTCTCCTGCTCGTTCCCTTTCCTCACAGTTAATGAGCCTTGGCAGAAAGGGACAAGCTGTAGTCTCTGACTGCTTTGTTCTGTTTGACTTGAGGTTGGAGTGTTGACACCTCACCTGGCAGCCTCGGAAGGCTTCCAGCAAATGACTGGTGATGAAGAGCCCCAAGGTCGACATGAGGCACAGCAACTGTCCCAAGCAGAGATGCTGAAGGTTGAGCATGTCTCAAAGATGGTGGAGGAAAAGTGGACTCAGTGGGAAGAGGTAGAACATTTGGACAAAGACGCTGCAATTGTGTCTGAAGCCCTTGGAGGGGGAAAGGGATCCTTGGGAGGAAATGGAATGGTCATTGTTGCAGTCATCCTTCAGAAAATCCATGAAAATGGAATATGAAACTGGCTATGAACTCAATTAAAACCAACTTCTGGTTTTGACCATTTGGTTTCAGAAGCGGGCATCCAAAATAATCCAGTTTATGAGCTTGGCATATGGCTAAGAGCAACTTCTTACGGGCTTGTGTTTGTAAAGATAACTTAGGGCAATCTCTGCCGGTCATCTTTCTGACACCAACTCATTTCTACTCTCAGATCTACACAGGCTCTTCTATTGAATCTGCTGCATCATCATCATCATCATCATCTGCAGCAGCAGAAGCAGCAGTAGCAGCAGCAGCAGCAGCAGCAGCAGCATCATCTAAAGGAGCCTTGGTTCCCCAACCAGAGAAGTGGAGCCCGGGCTGTTCATCCATCTCCAGCACTGACACAGATGCTGCTCAGCTACAGGTTCATCCATCTCCAGCACTGACACAGATGCTGCTCAGCTACAGGACGACTTCCTGGAGCTTCTGAGTATGGCTTGTGTATTTCTTGTCTGAGGGACAGTGAATTGTGTGCACGTGCCAACATAGCTGTACCAAATATTCCTCCTCAATTTGGTGTCACAGAGACATTTAGGGCTCCCCACAGGAACTGCTGTGCTTCAAGGCAGTGAGAGACCACTCTGGGTGTTCCTGTTGCCTCTGAGGGAATCTTGGACTGGCTCGGGTCTGCCTGGGCTTCGTTTTCTCCTAAAGGCAGAAGCAGAGATTGTTCTTGCATCAGCAGAAGGCTGTAACCTAGCAAATTATCTATTCAAGTGCTGCATGCTAGTGGCCAAACTGAAGAGAACATTTGATTCCTAAATTCAACTTAGACTCCAGGCTTCCCTACACTTGTCAGAACCAAAATGCTTCAGAGAAATTGAATGCTTTTGGGGTTTTGTGGTTTTGTTGCAGTTCTGATTTTAATTTGGGGTTTTTCTGGCTTATTTTGGGGTTTTTTTTGTAGAGATTTTCTCCATCCTGAAGGAGCTGTTCTGCCCCATGTGTCTTACTGGTGTCATTTTTATGAACATTCTTATTACCACTATTACATCTACTACATTATTTGATGAGAATGCTGTATTTTTGTCAGTGAGGACTCCTTTGAAAGAACATCAGGTGACAGCAGAAACAGAGAGCAAGAGCAGTTTTCACTGGGCCCACAAGGAAAAAACAGATACTTGTATAACAATCTGAAATTAATATCCTACTTTTATTCTTATAAAGATATCTCCAAGAGACACACAGACATGGTGTGATCAGAAAAAACTTCACCGCAGGCGTTTCTCAGGAGGGAGCCTCCAGCCCCTCCACTGTGTATTCCTCAGATCCATGGCACTTTTTCATATCTGATTCAAATCATTCCCATGACTCTTAGAATGCTACCCATTGGCCCAACCCCTGCTCAGATCAGTCTCTAGGAAAACACATCAAGCCCTCTGTGATTCTGCAGCACAACCCATTTAATCTGCTTCTCGCCCATAAGAGCTGCCAGTGTTGTGCCCTCCCATAAAGACCTGGTGGGGCTGAGAAAAGATCCCAGTTGATTCTGTGTGTACTTTCACCTGTTGAGACAAAAAAGGGCATTGATCCACACCTCGGTGTGTCTGATGCCAAAGCCAATCCCGTTGTGTCCTGAATGGGGACAGCAGCTTGTCAGGGGCTCAGGCTGGCTGTGGCTTGTGGCCATGGCTTGTCAGTGCTCATGCTTGGCCTTTGGCAGCCTTGCT